CATCAGCATCAGCATCAGCATCAGCATCAGCATCAGCATCATCATCATCATCATCATCATCATCATCATCATCATCATCATCATCATCATCATCATCATCATGTTTCGGCGGCGGCGGACCCGCAGGGACGAACATCCACACGATTTTTGTTGCGATGCAGCTTTAATGCGCAGCGTCGTTGCCCGCCACGCCGGCGATGGCCGACAGGCGCCCAAAGGGGAAGAGAAAGCGACACCGCGCCCGCCAGCGGCGCTTCCAGGAGAAGGCGGCCAAATGAAGGGCGGGCAACGACGCTGCGCATTAAAGCTGCATCGCAACAAAAATCGTGTGGATGTTCGTCCCTGCGGGTCCGCCGCCGCCGAAACATGATGATGATGCTGCTGCTGATGATGATGATGATGATGATGCTGCTGCTGCTGATGATGAGGAGGAGGAGGAGGAGGGGGAGGAGGAGGAGGAGGAGGAGGAGGAGGAGGAGGAGGAGGACGTAGGATGAGAGAGGAGGAGGAGGAGGAGGAGAGGAGAGGAGGAGGAAGGAGGAGGAGGAGAGGAGAGGAGATAAGAAGAAGAAGAACTAGGGGAAAGGAGGAGGCGATGGAGAAGGAGGAGGAGGAAAAAGAAGGAGGAGGCGGCGGTGGAGGAGGAGTAGGAGGAGGAGGAGGAGTAGGAGGAGGAAAGAGGAGGAGGAGGAGCAGGACGACGAAGGAGATGAGGAAGATGGATGCAGCAGGGGATGATGAGGGGGATGGGGGAGGGGGTGGGGGAGGGGGAGGATGAGGGTAGAGGAGAGGAGGAGGGAGGAGGAGGAGGAAGGAGAGGAGAGAGAGGAGGAGGGGAGGAGGAGGAGGGAGGAGGAGGAGGAAGGAGGAGGAGGTAAAGGAGGGAGAGGAAGGAGGAGGAGGAGAGGAGGAGGAGGAGGAGGAGGGGGAGGAGGAGGATGAGGAGGAGGCGAGGAGGATGAGGAGGAGAGGAGGAGGAGGAGGCGGAGGAGGAGAGGGGGGAGGAGGACGAGGAGGAGGAGGTGGAGGAGGAGAAGGAGGAGGATGATGATGATGATGATGAGGAGGAGGAGGAGGAGGAAGAGGAGGAGGAGGAGGAGGAGGGGGAAAAGGAAGATGGGTGCTCCTTGTACGGCGACGGGCCCTCGTCGATCGCACGTCCAGGGGGCGCCCGCGCGTCCCCCGCTGCCAGGCCCTCGAGCTTGACAGGCGCCTCGGGCTCCTCCTCGCGCATGTGGAACGGAGGGGAAGGACGAGGATGCTGAGGAGGAGGAGGAGGATGAGGAGGAGGGAGAAGGAGGAGGAGGAGGAGGAGGAAGAGGAGGAGGAGGATAATGACTCCTCCCCCATGTTCCCTCCTCGTATGCCCCTGACACAAGTTCAACTTCACGTAGGGAAGTGCCCCGTTGGAGCATAATCGCCTAACAACTCCTGAACCGGTGCAGAACACCTTTCCTGGAAGTGCAACTCTGCGAATCAACGATTCCGACGATCCTGAATCGTGCTAGAACACCGTTCCAGGGACTTCAACACCGCGAATCAACGTGACTGTTGCGCCCTGACAAACAACACCGTGCCCAAACACCATTTATGGGACGTCAACCGTAAGAGCCCTCGAAACCGTTAGCAACTCTTGAGACGAATGTGCGCGGCGCCTAGGCGAGAACTGCATTTTGAAAGGGGGCCGCCCCCATCCATGAGGCACCTGCAGAATTTTGCAACGAACGTGCGCGGCGGTACAGCGATACAGTCGGGCTTGATTGGATAGGACACGCGATAGGACGCAATACCCTTCCGAGGGCCACATTGCCATAGGAATGCAGGAGGCACGGGTCGCGACACACAGGGCACAAGGGTACCCTTGATTGGCAAGGTCGACCTACTAATCGACCTCGACTGTACCCACATTTGGAACACGGCCTGCCCTCTACTCCAGATTTCGTAATAAAAGGGAGGGGGTCTGGACCCTCCAAGACAAGCCATTTCAGACCTCCCCCGTGGGAGAACCCTCCAAAACACAGTCCCCAGACCCCCCCAGGCCCTCCAAGATAGCCTGGAAGAGACCCCCCCCCCCCGAAATGAGACCCCCTCTCTTTTATTACGAAATCTGGAGTATCCGTGAAGCTCTTGCAGACTTCTGCAGCGGACGTGCACTGCGCTAGGGCGAAAAACACTTTTTGAAACTGGCCGCTCTCCATCCGCGAGGCCCAGGGCAAACTCTTACGACGAGTATATGCGCGTCGCTCATGCGACAACCGCATTTGATGAAGCGCCCCGCCCTCCATCCGTGAAGCTTCTGCAGACTTTCAAAACGAAAGTGCGCGGCGCGGCTTGAACCACAGTCTGAAAACGGCCTGCCCTCCATCCGTGCAGCTCCTGCAACTTTACGACAGGTGTGCTCGGCGCTAGAGCGAGAGCCACATTTTGAAAAGGACCCGTCCTCCATCCTTGAGGCCGCTGCCAATTTCAAGCTGCAGGGTCATAATTGGTGAAGGAGTCTCAAACGGGTGCAACAAGGAAAAATGCGCATAAGGAAGGTGACTGGAGGAACAACAGGAGGAACAAGAGGAGGAGGAAGAGGAAGGGTTCGAAGGGGGGAGAGGCGCACGGGGGAGGATGGCGAGGAGGATCCCAAGGGGCGGACAAGGGGGCGTCGAGGATTTTTTGTTTATTTTGCTGTTTCTCCGCCAGCAGCCAGAGACTCCAATCCAATGAGGACACCGAGAAACACCATGCCGATCGCCGTGGGCACGACACAACGGCCACGGAGGGCGACAAGGCCCACCGAGGAACAACGGCGAGTGCGTGCGGTAACAGCAGCACGCATCGATCGCCCTCGACAGGAAATCACATGCACTAAAGGGAGCCAAGGACTCAGGAGGATAAAGAAGCGAGGTCTGAAGCGAACGTGTGTGTGTGTGTGTGTGTGTCTGTCTAGCTTTCTGGGTCGTTTGGGCGCCTCCCTCAGTGCTAGTCCCTAACAAGCACGGGCCCAGCATGGACAGCTCATTGCGAGTGTCGCCCCCCCCCCCACCCCCCCGCCGGCCGCCCCTCCCGTTTCCAAAGGGCAGCGGGAGTCAGGGCGAAATCTCCAGCAACCCACACTCCCAAATCGAGAGATCGCTCCCGTCTCGTGTGGGGCATCCTCTCCGTCCGCCGTCCCCCCTTTGCAGGGACCTTCTCAAGGGTTGCGCGGATGAGGCTTCACCAGAGTAGCAACCGAGAAAAATAATCCAGGCGAATGGCACGTACCAGAAGTAACACATCGAAAATTCAACAATTTCGCAGCCGCCCCCCCTCTGCGGGCGCCACCAGGGTGCGCGGCTGGAGGATTCGGTTACTAGCCAGATTGCAGAAGATCGTAATAAGGGAAATGCGGAGTTTGGCGGCTATGCTATATCCACTGAAACAAAGCCATTGAACAACCATCGTGTTAGACGAGGGTATTCGTTAAGCATTACACGCCGAAGGATCTCTCTTTCCAATGTTCAAATACCCAACGACTAAAACTTAGAAATGACACCACCACTAAGACTCAACACGAAACGGGATTCTACCTTTCCGGAACCACTTCCACGGAGCTGCTGGACTGTGGTGCACGAAAAGTTCCCAAATCGGACACCTAAGGCCGCAGTCCTGCATAAAACAATGAGTCCATGCTCCTATAATCGCGATCGTTTCCGAAGGGTCCCCACACTTTAGTGAGACAACCCGTAGTACAGTAAAACGCAGTGGGTGCTCGTTCACAAGACCGCGCGCTTTGTGTTGCCATGATGTAGTCTGGGTGTTGTCTTCGGGCGCCCGTCGCTATAACTATTTGGGGTCCGCCGAGAGGAGCTTCGACAGCTACGCTCTCACGAACACCATGATCTAGGCTCACTGTCAGCGAATCCAGCCACCGCAGCGTCGATGATTCGCATTCGGGGACCGTCGACTTGATGTCGGAGATCGTCAGCACCAGATGATTGCAACCGAGACCCGTCAGGACTTCAACGTCAGCAACGTCGGCGACAAACCAGGGATCAGGGGCGCAACCGCCAACTTCTCCAGCCGCAACAGAGCCCGCATCAGGCCTGGCCGGGGACAATGGCCAGGTTCGCCACCACCGGCTCCTCTGGCCGCAGCGCTGACCGCTTGCGCCTGAAGACCTGCCACATGTTTTTTCTACGTGTTCGACTATGGACCCCTTGTTGCCCATTGCTCCTGGGCCGTCCTCGGCGATCTTCGGCGGTCTTCGGGCGGTCTTCAGCGGCATTTGGCGGTCTTCTGACGTTCTTCGGTGGTTTTCGGCGGTCTTTGGCGGTTTCCATCGGTCTTCGGCGCGAAAGATAAATGGTTGCATTCAACAAGGGGTCCCTAATCGAGCGCCTAAGCTTCTTGACTAAGCTCAACCTCCTCGACACAAAATCGCATGTTATGTTTGCTCAAATCTCTTCAAATCCGCGTGAAAGGACGGAATGGCTCCAACAATGCAACTGGGCCCCCTCCCTCCCTGGCGCGCGGAGCAACCGGGGGCGGCGCTGGAGGCGCCGCCGGGGGGGCCCAGCGCGGATGCGCGCGCTCCCCTACCCCCGTCGCGGAGAGAGGGGGAAGGGGGGCTGCTCTTTTTCTTGAGCAACAGAGGGCTACAGGGTTTCGGGTCTTCGCCCAAACAATCGGATTATATGTAATATAATCATACATATATATATATATATATATATATATCATAGTAAAACTACAAACTTCCGAGCACCTCTCCTTGGGCGCAGCGAAGCGGCTCGGCCTCCAGCCGAAAAGCATGAGCAAGGTACCAGCTTTGTGGTTCCTTCCGCGGGCCTTCCGCGGGCCTTCCGCGGGGCTCCCCGCAGGCCCTCAGCCCGAGCGCGGGGCTACCCGCCGTGGGCAGGCGCGGGACTAACCGCAGCCGGGTCATTAGCTCAGCCTCGGCTGTCGTAGTGCTTCCTGCGACCATCCGTCTAGCTCCCTGGGTGGATCAGCTGAGGGACATCGGGACGATCTCGGCACTCGCTCTTGAACGTCTCGATCCACTGCTGCGCGGCCTCAGGGCTACTCAAGTCCTGAAGGTTGATCCTGGTCAGGGGTCCGCGCGTCGTAGCCGTCACTCGCAGCTGCTCGATCTCCTTGGCCTGGCGATCCGACAGGACGTTGCCCTTCTTGATCAGCCGCATGATTAGGTCGTCTTTGAGACCGCTCACGTGCAAGCCTTTGGCTCTCAAGATCTGCTTCAAGTCGACTACGAGAAACGTGTTGAACAACTTGTGCCTCGCTCCTCCGTCTTATCGTGCTGGGCGAGGCTCTGTGCCAAGTCCCTGTGCACTTATGGTCTTGACCTCCGTGTCAGTCAGTCCGCGCAGCCAGGTAGACGTCGGTGTCTCCAGGTCAGGGACCAACCGCCTTCTGGATGAGGTCCTTCTTGAGGTAGTTCCTCGCGTAGCAACCGCGCGCGCAGCCTAAGAAGTACGCCGCAGCGATCACCGCGAAGACACCCGTCTTCAGGATTAACCAGCATTCCTCGCTGTCCACGTAGTGGGGCACAGGTGCGGGGCAAACCGCTGCCTGGCCTGGCTCCTCGTACACCGTCACCTTCTCGCCTGACGCAGAAGTCGCGACTTCCGTGGAAACTGCCATCGCGCTCAAGCCCTTGAACTGTTTTCTGGACATGGTGTTCAGAGTGGCGTAGTGCTTCCCTATCGTCGACCACTCGCTGTACTTGGTGAGCATGTCGGCTGTCATCTCGTTGGCGTCCTCCTTCAGGAGCTCAAGCACCTTGGGTCTTAGCCGCTCTTGACTCCACAAGTACCTCAGTTCCAGGTGCCTGACCTTGCCCACGCCCACTCTGCTGCACATGCCCTGTCCTGCGGTGCTGTCGCTGTAGATCTTCAGGTTGCAGGGCCTCTGGGTCTCGATCAGATAAGTCTTGCACTGGGGTCCTCTGGCAGTCGCACTGTCTGTAGCATGCATCTCGGATCCCCCTGAGCTTAGAGCTATGGTGTTCTGCGTCACTGAGTAGCAGTCCCCTGTGTGGTCACCATGCCGCACAGCTCCTCCGCTCGTGGATCGCCTGTGCAAGTTGCTTGTAGGGGCCCAGTCTGCATCTCCGTCCACCCGAATGCCTTCAGGAGTATCCTGCAGAGGGTAGCACCAGACCAACGCAGGCTGTCCCTCGCAGTGCCGTCCAAGCCGCTGAACTCGCGCATGCATCAGAACAATAGGGTTTGACACGTGCTGCATCGCGGTCTTGCTGGCGTGCATCGTGTCGGGCCCGTCCGAAGAGAGGTGGAGTGCCGTGCCTGCTGCACCTGCAACTTCCCGAGCTCGATCCTTGCACAGGTCTAAGCTGTCTCGTCAGCCTTGTCCTGTCGCTTTCGTTCCTGGAGTAGGAGACGCCTTGCGCCCTCGCTTCTGTGTCCACTGAATCATGAAATCCACGTGATTGGGATCCGCTGTCCAGAAGAATCCTGGATCCTCTGAGCCTGGCAGTTGATCGGTGTACCCGATGATCCTCTTGAGGTAATTAGTCTGCCCAGGTCTTCCAGGACCCAGTCTGGCGCTCGCTGTGACCTCGAAATGCTGTTTCAGCAACTCGTCCAGCTGCTCGTAGTAGCCTTCGGCCAGAAAGTCGTCTCCGTGGCAGATCGCTGTACTGTCCTCGTCGACGGCAGGGACGTTGGGGCTCGCTGGCAGGTTGAACGCCTTAGGTGTCGCCGTCAAGCATTCCCAGTGGCCGTCATCCATGGTGGTCCGCACCAGCTCTCCTCACATCTGCGATGCTTTCCCGGTGCCGTTCATGGTCTTGCGCAGCCGCCAGCACCTTCCAGGAGGGCACAGTTCGCGTCCAGGATGAACGTATATCGTCTCTTCGGATCGGCGTTGAAGAAAGCCTTCCTGACCTCCCAGACCTGGATCATCCGCTTGTGCTCTCCCGTCGAAGTAGGGCTCGATGCGGCGCGGCTTAGCGTCGCCCTCACAATCATGAGCGGCGGCGTGCCCCTCGTGCTTGTTGATCTCGGTCGCCGCGAACCTCCACCTGACTCCGCCTTCCTTCTGATGGGCTATGGTGGGGAAGCCTCCGATATGCTTGCCGTCGGTCGCCGTCGACGTCGCCACCTCCACGTAGACTCCGTAGTCCTTCATGGCCTGACGCTCGTCGTCGCGACCTTCCTGGCGCAGATCGTCGTCCAAGGGCTCTGCGGTGTAGTAATCGTAGTGTCTCGTCATTGGGCTCCACTGGTCGTGCTCGTGCAACTCGGCGCTGACCTCAACCATCTGCTCGATCTGCTCCTCGTCAGGCTCTCCTAAGTGACTCCTGATAGTGCCGATGTCGACGACTGCTTCTCACCTATCTGGGCATCTTGAACTTCGCTTCGGGTGTGGATCCCGCATCGGGTCGAAAATCTCGTCGTAGCCTTCCTCGCAGACTGCCAGTTCGCAGACAGGGACCATACCGATGGTTGCTACTTTCGGCTTCTTGATCTCCACTTCGGACCTCGGCTCTCCTGGGGCGCCTCTCTGGAAGTCGCTCCTGATCTGGTCAGGTTCCGTCTGCGTGGCTGTCTGTGCTTCTGCCTCTCCTGGGGCAGGAGGCATGGCCGCGTCTTCTGCAGCAGGTGCGGGTGCTGCCGCTGCCTCACTGCTGCTTGATGCCGCTGCTAGTCCAACCGCTGCTCCAGGCGCGGGGGCCCCCGCAGCCGGGACTGGCACCGCCGCCGTGGCCTCTGGGGCCACAGGGTCCTTCTTCCAACTTCTCGCGCAGGAAGTCGGCCTGGATTGTCCCGAACCGCTGACGGCAGGCTGCCGAATGCGAGCCATATCCAGTGCTGCATTTCCTGCAGTCGTCGGTCGGGCCGTGAGCGTCGATCATGCGCTCCGTGATGTTCATGCTGCGTCCGATGGGCTCCGCACTCTTGTCAGGGATGTGCTTCCACGGCGTCGCCCTGATGTTCTGTGTGAGCTCAGGGTGCCACAACTCCTCTGGCATCCTCCGCGCGGTCCTGGCCATCTGCACGCCACGCTCTGGGTCGATCACGAGGGAGTTCCAACTCGCTCTTTCCAACCCAGATCCCTTTCGCATGGCGGGGCTTCCACTTGCTGCGTCCAGCAGCAACTCGGGCGGAGATCCGATGCCAGACCTGCTCGCCCATCTCCGCGACCTCCCCACTGTACTCCTTGCCGTGCAGCATCTTGTGGGAAGAGCCTCCATGGCTTCGTGGCTGAGGCCTGGTGATCATCCAGCCCACCGAGTTGACGAGCCAAGGCGCGACCATATCCGTCATCTTGATCTCGCGCCCAAGCTTGTGCTCCAGCTTCAGATTGTAGGTCCGTAGCAAACCTGTTGCAAGCATGTCGGCGTCCTCGGCGTAGCCAGCACTCAGCTTGGAAAAAAACGGTGACCCCCGCGCCAAGGTAGAGTGAGACCTGCGATCTCGAGCTGCATTTGCCAGGACCATCGTGGCAAGCTCCTGGTCTGCCTGGGGCGCAACTGTCGTCTGTCTGGGGCGCATCTATCAGGAAGGACACCTTGTAGTCGTCCAACTCTTTGTTAGCATGCAGCGTCGCCTGTGCCAGGGTCTTGCAATCGATCGCGTTCAGAACTGCGATCGCCTGTTAAGATCTGCTTTCGCTACCATTCTCACGGAAGCTGAAGTCGCCTCCTTTGAGCTTGTGTTTAGCCGCCAGCTGGTCAGCCCCGACGTAGAAGATGTCGAACACCACCTTCGGCACTTGCTTCTCGCCCGCTGGCTCCTGCGCGTAGTGCGGATCGTCGTCCGCTTGAGCTTCCACGCGCAGTGGGCACCGAGGGCGAAAAGGTAGGTAATGCCCATCGTGCGCGGCACTCTCCTGAACACTAGGCTGGTAGGCTGACTTCAGCACCCTCGTCGGCACAGTCGTGGTCTCGCCCGCCTCTGGGCCGAGAACCCTCGGTAAAGATCCAGCTGCTTGCTCAGTTGGGGCCTTCCGCGGCAGCGTTTTCCTCACTCCTGCTGCCTGCGCGGCGTCTGGTTGGGTCTTGCCGTCTATGATGTCATCGTGCTCTATGTAGTAGTTGACCGGATGTCGTTGTAGAGGTACGAACTCAGCTCCATCAAGTGGCTCGATGGTGCCGTTGATGATCCAGTGAGCTGCAAGGCTATGAATAACGCTCTGGCCTCGTTGCACTACCGCATCTGTGGCCGCAACGGGGCACTCCACGTTGGTAACTTCCGCACCAACTTGGAAAACCTCTCCTCCCCGGGACAGGTTAAGCTCCACATGGCCGTGCCTCTCGATCTCCTCGCCTCCGATACCCTTCAAGCCAACGACGTTGCTGTCCGTCGGCGTGTAGTTGTGCTTGGTCACCTGCTTCCTCGGCACTGCGCTGATCTGCGCGCCTGAGTCGAGCATGATGGCATTCCGAAGCGGGGCTGACAGCAGTCGGTCGTCTTCCGTCACCTGCCCCTGTAGGCCTCCGACCTCGGGCAGCGCGGGTCCGACCGCAGCTGGCAGCGCGGGTTCTACCGCAGCTGACTCGCAGCAGCTATAATAAGTCGAACTTCGAGTGCCTGTGCTTGTCCAGGCACTAATCTGCGCATCTCTCGCAGAAGTCCAGGTTCCACTCATGGTAATGGGTAATGCCGCCTTTTGCCCTCGAAAAGGCTTCGTGCGCGAGCTGCAGATGTACTCATTGTAGGAGGGCAAGGCGTTCTTCCAGCTGATCCTGTGGTCTTGGGCTCTGTGACCTCGGCCCTCAGGGCCAGAAGCATCTTCGCTTGCAGCCCTCTGCAGACTGGCAGGGTCACTGCGCTTTCGGCGCTGCTGTGTGTCCCTGGCAGAGGCTGCGTGGGCACCGTCGACCCTGTCGCTGGGGCTACTCCTGCTTGTCGCAAGCTCTCGAGCTCTTGTACTGCCGCTGCTGCGGCCCTCTTCTTCTCTTTGATATTTTCTTTTCTGTGCTGCTTCTTGTCCATGTTGTCGTGGTTGGCGGCTGCCTTCTTCTCGTCGGCTATCCGCTTGCGGCAGTTGGCGCTGCGATGGCCTTTCTTGTGACCATAGTTGCACTCCAGGTCGGCGTCTGGGCTCGGCGGCCTCTCCTTGCCCTTGCCTTCCTTGCCATTGCCGCGGCCTTTCCACGCCTTCTTGCCGCCCTTCAACCCGCCGATGTCCATCCGATCGTTCTGGGCTGCTCGCTCCGCCGTCGGCGCCGACCCGACTTCGGCTCGCAAGAACTCGTGCGTGTTCAGCCGGCTGCTGTTCCGAAACACGTGCTTCTGCAACTCGCCGTGATCCTTGAGCGCCTTGGTGAGGATTCCTCGCTTGATGAGGTCCGACACGGGATCGTCCGACGTCTTCTGGCACCTCGTCATGTCCTCGTCGAGCTTGCTGATACTCACCATCACTTCGTCCGTTGCCTCGAACTTCGTGTCCGTGAGCTTGGTCCACACCGCTAACGCGTTGCCCGCTTCGCTTGGGCTGTGCTCCTTCTGCAGCTGCCTCCAGCACGCCGCCCCTTCGCCCGAGGTTCTGTTCCTCGCGATCATCTCGCCCGCCGAGTCCTCGGGTATGACCAGGGCCAGGGTGAAGTACAGCTGGTCGCTGAGCTTCCTCCTCTTGGGCTGACAGGTTCACGTCGTCTACGTCCTGCGCTCCGTCTTCGCACTTCTCGAGAAGAGGTCGATGCCATCTGTCTTGCGCGATCAGGTAGGCTTTGCACTGGAAGCTGGACGTCTTCCAGCTCGCTCTCTGGCCGGCTAACGGCTTCACCCTGTGAAGAATCTTCGGGTCCATCATCTCGCCACGAGGCCCTCGTTCTCTGTCGGCTTGTCCCCGAAGCTGGCCTCGCATCCTGGCTATCGCTAGATCTCGCTGATGAAGCTCCGTCCTCATCTGCTGACTCCCCGTCGTCAGCCTCTGCACTTGCTCGACCAGTTCTCGCGCTTGACCTTCCATCGTTCTTCTCGGCCTTCGCCTGGCGCTGGAGGTCGAGCGCGAGCTGTCGCTTCACCGCTGCTCGCTCCTCTTCCGCAAGCTGAGCCGCGTCGCCGCACTCGGCCACCTTCCTCCATGCGCCCCCTCGGCTCTGGCGGTGGGCTCTCGCCCCTGGGGCTCTGCCACCGCGCTTGTTCGCCTTCTTGACCTT